TTTAAATTGCATTTTGACACCATATCTGTTTTCTTTTCTCATAATTTTTAATATAAGCGAAAGAAATTAACGTTTACGAAAGAAATACACATTAGAAATGTTAGCAATTTTATAGTTGTAATCTGAAACAGTTGTACAGTTTTTTGAGTGCCGCCATCTTAAAAAGTTGTTAATTGAAGCAAAAACGATGTCTTAGCGGAGACAATGGAATGCCGTCATTTTATTTGGATGTCTTCAAAAATGATACAGAAAGTGCTGATGCAGATATATATTCTGGTGGCATAATGCTTGGTTGCACATATGGTGTAGCTTGTCTCTATATATGGGCTATTGGAATTCTGGCTGCTGGACAAAGTTCCACAATGACCGGAACTTATTCTGGTCAATTTGTTATGGAGGTAATCACTGATGTTATCAGGACATAGTCTGCGGAGACAGTAGTATTTTTGTAAGTGCAAATTTGTTACTGCTGGACCGTTTTTTGTATCAGTGTCAAGAGTTTATTAACTTTTTAGGGCTTTATTCAGCTAAAAATTCCAAAATGGAAACGAATTTTGATCTCCAGGTAAACTGGCTACTTTACATTTACAATTCTAACAAATTTTATAGATTTCTCAGTCTTTAAAAACTATTTTTATTTATCAGTTGTTTATTGTAAAATCAGATGTGCTTAATGCTTTGCTACAAATAATTAAAGTTTACTGGCTAACTGTCTGATAAGTTGTCTTATAAAATGCTAATTTAGTTACAATTTTAAACTGAATTTAGTTAATGATGATCTCTGTTGCAATTAATCGCTAACTGATGGAAATAATTAATCAGTATCTGAAGTTAGTATTTATGAATTTATAATAGAGCATCAATTGCTGTATTTATAGTTAAAATCAGATATTTAGTTGACTCATAAGCAACAGAATTAAGCAGGTTTTTTTGCAGATAAGTTAATAGTGTTAATTGGCATACCTAATTTTAAACTAAATTTATAGATTCTATAGTATCAGAAGTATGAAAAAGTAAATTTTTTTGTTTTATTGGTGTATAAATGCAATGAGTCAGTCAATAAAAAAAAAATATTTTTTGTTAAAGAATCATTTTATACTTAAAATTTTTGCTGCTAAATCACTCTACACTAAATGTAATTAGTAAATATGAGCTTTGTATGTTAATCTGGCTCAAAAAAAAAAGAAAACAAAAACTTTCTGACAAACTTATAAATCATAGGAATGTAAGTTAAGCGGTAAAAGTTGACAACTAAATCTTATCCAATAGCATAGCGTTAGTTCTATAGGCAGATTTTTTAAGATAATAAATTTAACAATTTAACTATTTTTTGTTTTTAAAATTTAATGCATTTTATAGATGCAGATAATGTATTATGCATTTAATTATTATTGCAGTAAATTTGATTTTAAAAATAACAACAGTAAAGAAGCAAATTTAGCTTACAGTCAACAGAAAGTGTTCTGACAAAGTAAAAGAAAGTAAAACTTTGTTTGTAAGAAATGTCATCAAGGAGGGAAGGAAAGGAAAAAATGTCTACTTGTTGATTGTTGACTTCAGAAAAAAAGAAATATCAAAGTCATAGATCATAAAAAAATATTTGGAACAACTTTTTTGTTTATTTTTTTAAAATTATTAAAGTATCATTATTTGTGAATACAACACACTAATCTGATGATTCAATGCAATATGATTGATAATCTTCACCAACACTAATCATAATGTAACGCTAATACTAGGGATGATTCATCAAATACTCAAATCCGACATTTATATACCGTTTGTACGGTCTATTTACCAATTACCTTATGTAAACAGCTTATTACATGATGCCAGAAAATTAGCTCTAAGTTTTTGCTAACCCAATCTAAGTATAATATAGCCTTATTAACAACCAGATATATTGGCCATCACAAGTTGCAAAAATTACTGAAGTGTAGGGGGGTGAGAGATGAAGAAAAAGCCACTTAAACTGATAGTAATAAGTGTTACAGGACAATAGCAATATGTCCGACATTACTTGTCGTTATTTTATCTAAAGGAATATCCCAATTATCAACGTTAAGCGATTTCTTAAACTGTGTACAGATGCTTCAACTACCGTTTGCCTTGTTTCCCGTTGTGACATTCGCTTCAGAACCAAAGGTTATGTATGACTTCGCCTGTACTATGTACGTTTGATCATTTTCTTAAACAATTTGCGTAATTTTTTCAGCTTTTTTGAGACGTATGTTTAATT